GACTGTCTGACCACGGCCTCAGATATGCTGGGGGAAAAGGAAAAGGCAGATCTAGCAGAGCGCAGTTACAGCAGCAAATCGATGAAGGCACGGAGTAAAATATTTACCTTCCTCTGGCTCAGGAGATGTCTTTCCTTTTAGGATTCTTGAAATATGGGCAACAGAAGCTTTTACTTTCTTCTTCAGACTCTGCTCCACTGACTGCTCCACTGAATGAGACCTTGCATATGGCTTAAAGAGTCCTGGCTTGTTGTAGAAGGAGCTTCTCTGCTTCCCACTTGAGTCCTTTTGGGGGCCATAAATTTCCTTATGACTCTCTGATCCTTTCCCCATGGCTAATAAGTTAGTTGCCTTTGAATCCTCAGATATTTCCAAACGGTTCTTCCTGTTCCTGTCCTCTGCCTCTTCTCTGATGCACAGTCTTTTATCCTTATGCAAATGTCCTGCAGGAGGTGACCTTGCCCTTTCACCAAAAGGTATAAACCGTCTACCAGTTGGTTTGGGTGGAGGCTTCCTATAGTTCAGAAATTCAAATGGAAAATAGACAATGTCATACAAGTCAGAGAAATTCAAATAGGCAGGCTCTACCTCTGATATGTCGAGTTTTGGAGTTCCACTGCCAAGACTGGGTGTTTCATCCGACAGGTCTTTGATTTTCACTAAAGAAACTTCTGGGTGTTTACCAGTGTCCTTGCTTACTGACGCTTGACTGGGTCTTTTTCCAGCATCCAAGCTATCTGTTGAGGAAACGCTTACTTGGCTAGAAGCGGGGCTCTCAAACGCTAAGTCTTCCAGATGCTCACATTCATGAGGAACCATCTGTCCTCCCTGCCCTTCCAGGACCACTGACTTCTCACTCATGGCAGGATAGGGTTCTGCAAGGTCATCCAGCTCAGAAACTTCTCTTTTACCCCCTTGTACAGAGGGGAAGGTGGTGTCCATAGGTGCTTGGCTACCTGGGCCTTTGCAGAACATCTCTGTGGGAGGAGAGATGTGCTTTCTGCATTCCTCCTCACCAGAAACTGACTCTGCCCAAACATTCATCTCTTCAGAGAGGGAAACCATCTCATCCACTAAGCCCTCCAGCACAGCAGACTCCTCATCACTGTAAAAAGAAGACCTGTGATGTGAGAGCTCCTGACTTTGATCCCTGCGGAGTGATGGTGGGACAGTTCTTCCAGCATCACAGCTTCCACTTGCTAAGGCAACGCCTCTACCCTCATCATAAACCTTTGGATGCTCTTCATATTCTAGCTTATAGACTGGAGCTGGAGCAACTTCTGGTTGTGAAGCAGTTAAGACACCTGGAGGCCCACCCTCCAGATCAGCAGAAACTCTGCCACTGGGACAGGCACCCCTGTGCTGCTCAGACACCTGACGTCCAGCCTTGGGGAACGGAGCAGGCATAGTCTGTCCAGCTGCTTGCCTTCCACTTGCTGTCACAGCTGATCTCACCTCACTGTGAAGTGATGCCTTTGGATGTTCTCGCTTTTCACTCTCACGGACCAAAGGGAGGCCAGTATTTTGGGAGGACACAGTTCTAGCTGGGTGTCTGCTCTCCAGAACGGCAGGCACCATGTCACTGCCTTTAGAAACCTTCTGGAGTTCAGCTCCCTCGATTTCAGTCTCATGGACCAAACTGGGAACAAGCTCTGTGACAGCTGAGCTTTCCCTCCTCGGAGCAGCAAGCCTCTCCTTGCTATGAGCTGGCCGTTCCCTTTCAGCCTGCTGTGCCCCATCGGAGACCAAAGTTGACATTGATTTTGGTGGTGGGACTTTTGGAACAACAAGATGCTCTTCCTTCAGGATAGCTGATGCTGTGTCTCCATGAACAGGAGCCCTCTTGTGTGTCTGGCTTTCGCCATCATGGGATGATGGTGGAGTGGTTCCTGTAACACCTGGTCCTTCATCCTCCAGGACACCAGATCTCACCTCTTCATAGGTCTTCAGCTTCTGATGCACACCTTCATCAGCTGTTTGCAGAGCAGTTAGGGTACCAGGCCGTTTGCCCACCAAGGCAGTAGTCACTGGAACACTTTGATCAGGAAGTTCCTGACTTTTGTCTTTACACACTGGAAGTGAATCGGTTTTTGTTTGTGGGCCTGTTAAAACAGCAGCACTTTCACGCTCCATGAGATCAGATTTGGCAACGCTATGGGCAGAAGTCTTCTCATGTGAATGTTTCTGCCTTTTGTCTTTCCAAGGTGGAACTGGGGCTGTCCTTTTGATAAGCAAGCTTCCACCTTTTAGATCCGGCTGGATGTCGGTGCTGTGAGCAGACTCCTGGGGCAGATACGCACCTCCCTTGCTTGTAGGGGCTGACGTGGAGGTGGTGTCTGACTGTGCGAGCGTTGAAATGGACTGTTTGCCCTCCTGAAAAGCAGTGTCAGAGGCGCTGCCAGGGGGAGATTTACCTTCCATGCTTTCATGTTTTTGAGCTGATGATGCAGTTGCATCTGAGCACTGGGCAGTTAGAATGGCGCTTTTGCCTTCCAAATCTTCAACTTCCTCCTCAAAGTAAGCAGCTTTTGACTTCTTCAGTAAATGTTTCCTATTCTCACTCCTATGAGGTGACACTGGAAGTCTCTCTAGCTGTTGCACAGTAACAGCTGGGCACCCATTACCCTCACATTTTGTGGAAGGAGGGGGCTGCTCTTCTGAACAATTCTTGCTGGCTCTCCTAAAGTCCTCCTGCTTTGAAGTGTCTACAGAACATCCCTTGCTAGGCCCCGCAGAAATGTCACAGTGGTCACTGCCTTCAGGGCAACTTTCCTGTGACAAAATATCACAGTCTTCTTCCAAAATATCTTGTTCCCTCACTGATCTTGAGGCTCTCAGCCTGTAGTCATCCAGGGAACGGCTTCGGCTAGCACCAGCAATGGCAGGATGTGGTGGTTTCCTTGCAGTGTCAAACGAAGCTGATTTGGTCAGCAGACTTTCCCTGTGATCATCTCCATCATCAGACTTTCCTTCTTCTTCTTCCAGTTCAAACTGCTCTAGAAGGGGCTCACGGAGACCACTGAGAGGGACCTTTGAATATCCAGCTTTCCGGAAAGTCCTTCTGGCTCTGTCCAGGTGCCTTCTGAACTCCCTGCCTGGTGAGGAAGGCCCCCTTGCAGGTAGCTCAGCTGCTTGGCTGTAGAAAGTGCTTTTAATGACACTCTGTCTAGGAACACAGACAGGTGGCTTTTCTGTCCCATCCCCAGCCTTATCAATTCTGTCCTTATCAGATAAAAATATGTCTGGTTTTTCTTTCTGAGAGGGATGTGATGTGCTTTCTGTGGAAGTCCTCACTGATGAAGACTCAGCAGCACCGCTTCTTTGGGACTGCTCTGCTCCTTCATCTCGAGGTCTGGGATGGAGCCCCTCCTCTTTCTCCTTTAAGATACTTGCCATGAGCTCTTTGGTTTCTGTAGGTGATTTGTCCCCCACCTCAGCTTTCGTTGAAGCATACTTCCTCCTCATGGGTTTTACTGGAGGGACTGACATTTTAGAGTGCTTCTCTTCACTTGAGGGTTTTGGAGGCTCCTGATGGCTTGATACATCAAATATGGACAAGTGCAGTTCGGGTGTAGAGCCAAAGTGCCTCTTCGTGGGGAAATGCGAGTTCTCGTTGTCTGAAGACGAGCCGCTGGTACTGGATGAAGTGCTTTCTTCAATAAGATGTCGGGAGATGGCCAGGGAGGTGTTGTCGTGAGTTCTTTCTAGGATTTCTGGGATAGACCGCATTACCAGTATGGATTTATAGCACATCAGAGACCGCTGAAAAGCAAAACAAAATGCTGCACAATCAGATGGAAACATGGTGGGACCATGGTAAAACAAGCATACCAAAATGAACTTCGACACTCTTAAATACCACACATACTAGTTCAATAACACGTTGCCACCCTTTGTACATATCGTCAATCCAGGCCTCATTTGCTCTCCAAGTCTTCCTCTTCTCTCATTCACAGAGGTGAAACTATATTGACTTCAGGGGACATATTTGCTGTTGTGAACAGGGAAGCAGAACCCTGCTTGAGATATTCAGAGATGATCTGGCCACTCAAATCAGATGGAAAAGGAGTTTTTAATGGAACACATCAGATGAGAGCCTAGCTGGAGTAAATGGCCTTAAATTCATCAACTGCAGTACAACCTACAGTGACTTAGGCCAACAGAAGACCTACCCTACTGTAGGAGGTAGGACTCATCTGCTCTAACTTCTGCCATGTGAGACATCTCAGTTGAAGTTGAGCAGCTGGGCCTCCCCTTACAGCCAACAGAGAGAAACAGGCACCTGCAGAACGCAATCAATCTGATTATTTTAGAGAACTTCAGGAAAAGAGGAATCTTCTTGGGACCTGTCTATAGTTTAGTATCAATTGCAAAGGCAGCTGAGGATACCTGACTTAGACACAGCCATGCATCTTACAGGCACCTGCATTAGGGCAGATGATTTTCAGGCAGTAAAAGCCTAGGTAATTTATTTCTGCCACATCCGTTGACTACTCTCTCCTGGGCTTATTCCCCATTCATAGCCAAGCTGAGATCTCTGCTGTGCTGGCTGTCCTAGCCCAACAGACTTTAAGAGATGCAAATGTAATTAAAAATATATATAACTAAAAAGAACCAACATTGATTAAGGCCAACTCACCTGCCACTTGCTCCGAGCCACAATGAATTTGAGCTGCTTGGTATTAATGAAATGAGCTGCTTCGAGGGGGAGATTATGCTGCCAGGTGGAATGAGAGGAAAATCACTGGTTAAAAAATCCTGAATTTTTCCCTGAGAAGTTTTTTTGGTGGTTTTGTTGTTTTTGTTTTTTTTTTTTTTAGGATTCTCTCCTTCTAGACTTGTTTAATTTAGGAAAGTTACAATAGACCAAATGCTACAATCCCCTCATAGCTAAATTGTAGACAATCTCAGCTTTTCAATGATTAAAGCAAGCCCTGTTCAAGGCATGTCATGAAATTCTTTTTTTTGTTTGTTTGTTTGTTTGTTAATTTTTAGCTCTTCTCCTTAGCAATTTAATGCATTGGAATATAAACCATAACTTTTCTCTTCAAAGCCACAGTTTTCTTTCCATACAGACATACTCTATCTATTCATGTCAAGTAGCAATCTTTATCTTCTGAAAGAAAGGTATCTTGGCATGTAAACACCAATGCATCTCCTCTTTCTGGAGAGCCATGCCTGAACTTCTCTGTAGGACAGAAAGTAGGAGACCAAGAGAAAAAATAAACCAGTAAATAATATCAAGCAGCTTTAAGAGCAGCCCCTCCAAAAGTCTGTTCCAACCTCTATTTTTAACGACTCTACTGAAGAACCAGGACAAACTTACCATGAACCACTTGTGGGAAAGACAGTCCAAAGCACTAGGCCTTGCTCTGAGAAGAGAAAAAAAAGATCAGGAAGACTTCCAATCTGAGACTCCCTGCAGATCCTCAGGAAGACCCCATGGGAGTCTGCAGGGAGCCTGTTCAAGGGCATTGAGAGAATTCCTAAGAGTGACTTTCACTCTTTAGGTGACCAGAGTAAAAATGGCTTTGGCAGCAGGCAGAAAGAATAGAAATGAAACTAAAAAGCAAGCGCCTGCAAACATGCCTTCAAGCTGCCTTTTGTACTTGAAATTGCTTAATGAATGTGGTTAATATTATTTAATTCTCGCATAACTCCCTCTGTACTAGTCTTTGCTCTTCCCACTTCTCTATGTCATTTCACTCATCTGCCTGGAGGAGTCAGGGAGTAAGGACATCACCGTACCAGAAACAGGCCAATTTGGCAAATTCCCAAGTTGTGTTTTGGGTAATGGAGACTAATAAAGAAGAATTAGGGCGTAACGCACCATGTCTTACTCAGCTTTCTACTTTTCAAAACAACTGCAGCTCTCATGAGCTGAGATCTGCCTGCTGTGACACCAACATCTTTGCACACTGGCTGTAGGAAGCACAAAAGTGTACTCACTCGGGGTGCTGCTGTAGGATCCCTTTCACAAAGTCCTTTGCATCTTCACTCAAGTGAACAAAATCAGGAATAGTCCATGAAATTTCTCCGTTCTGGATATTTAAAAGGGTTCCTCTGTCATTCTCCCCAGCAAATGGAGACTTGCACGTTAGGCTTATTTATTAAACACCATGAAATAAAAGAAGACAGACTTTAGACTTTTATTTGCTGTTCAAATGACAGAAGCACACACACTTACATGGGGCTTTAAAATGCTTGAGGGACTCCATGCGTGGGACTTGTGATGCTTGTGACCAGTGCATCCACTTAGAGAACATCCTTCACCCCTGCATTACATGCCACTTAACTGAATTATTTATCCCTGTTTCACAGATAAGGAATTAAGGGTTTGATTTTGCACAGCTACAATAGGGTGTTGGCCAAAACAGACAAGGGGAAGACTGAACCTCATTGACCGCTGTCATCGCTAACTGCAAGGAGAGCGGCTGTCAGGTCTTCAAGCAGGGACAAGGACTAACGCCGTGGACAACCAGGAAAGAGCGAGTAAAGGAGAAAACCACAAAAGAAATTGCCCTCATTATAGAAGGACTCAATGCTTTGCTCAAATTCCTCACTTGAAGGTACTTGTGGGTTCTGATTGACAAAGGGATATTGAATGACTCTTTCCAAGAAGATTTATTTACCTTAAATATGTGATGACTCCCACAGCCCTGAGGAGAGAGGGAACACAAATGTCAGGTGTTCATCACTATTTCTCCCTCCTTCTCAAACACACAGCCCCTTTTCCTGCCACTAGACACCCTGGCACAGAAAGATCACCTTCTTCTCCCTACCTTTCCGAGGAAAATAAATCCCAAAAGCTGTTGCTTTCACCCTTCATTTTTTTTCCTTTTAACATTTTTTAGAATTGTTCTCAAGTAATCCTCCATTTTTAAAGCACAGATAGAGGAGAAGACCCAAAATATTTTTTTTTGGAGCTTGCTTGCCTTTTCTAGAAAGCATCTTAGGATCATCCTCCCTAGTCGCTGCCTCTAAGAAAGATCATCTTCTCTAAGATGCTCCTTTGTGTTAATTAGCTGCCAGAGTTCAATTATGGTCGAACAAAATAGACAGAAGGAGGTTTAAAGAGCCCTGATGGGTTTTGGATTCTCAGGGTTCACTTTCAGTTTCCTGTATTATTATCACTACTCCATTTACTTATTAACAACAAATGGAACTTGGGGCCATCTAGGACAAAAGCTGTTTAAAAAGAGGACAGGTTACCAGATATCAGTTGCTTTTGACACTGGTGACTGAGAAACAATTTCTGGGGCAACGAACTCCGGAGACCCATATTTGCTGAACTGAGGCTCAAAGGGCGTGATCTTCTGGGCAAATCCAAAGTCACAGAGCTTAAGATCTTCCCTTTCAGGGTAAACCATGAGGATATTCAGCGGCTAGTAAATGAAATAAAATAAAAGGGAGGAACTTTTCTTGAAAGCAGGCAATATTTTCAGTTTTAAGTAAGAATAATTCAAATAGAGAATGCCCATTCCCTGACCAACAAGAGGTGATGATAAGCCGGACCTGCCATTGCACATTACCTTAATGTCCAAATGAAGGATGTTGTTGTCATGAAGATATTTGATTCCTTCCAAAATTTGCTTGATATATAATTTGACCTAAAAATTAAATCAATTATTAAACAATTATTAAACATTAATAGTAAATAAGAGGATCCCTGATTCCACTAACAGTTTTAATATATAAGGGAGAAATTGAACTAGAAATACTTTTAAAGCTAGAGAACTTCTTGCATTAGTCTTGCAGTTGAAATAAGATGTGGACCAAACATTACCACATGGAATGAAGCTGTGCCGTGCATGTGATGTGCTGGAGCCTTCTATATGTGAAAAAGCCCTTTCTTAAAAAAAAAAACAACCCACCACCCTACAAACATGCAAAAAAGAAACAGATTCCCGTTTAATGAACCTTATCAACCATCTAATTTATCTAACTCAGACTCAGTTCTGGCTTGGTGTAAATCAGGCAAACACATTTACAGCACAAATACCTTTTAAAACTATGTTGTAAACCTGTTTTCTCGACCATGCGTAGATCCAGTCTGCCTATGACTGAACAAGGAGTTAAAATTTACAGCTAGCTTCAGCTTTGGAAGTCCTCTACCTTCGACATTTTTTAGTGTTAGCTGACATCTGATCTTTAAAGGTCCCTTCCAACCCAAACCATTCTATGATTCTACGATATTTCCCTCTGAGTATCTAAAAGAAAAGTCAGTTTTACCTATGGGACACCGGGCTACTAAGTGGGAAGTGTGAAAGATTTTGAACTTTGAGCACCAAGGATCTCAAAACAAACCCCTTAGAAACTGTAATTTCAGCCCTTGGTTTGGAGACTGAAAGGGAGTGGATAGCACTACAGTTGTGAGGGGATAAAGAGTTATTAAACAAGTGAAGATAAAGGAGCTCCAGGTGACAGACAGCAAAGAAATGATGATGATTGATAGACAAAATACCATCTGTATTAGGCTGAATGCAATGCTGATGGTCAAAACCACTGGCTGTTTCTAGTTACTCCCCAGGGAAACTCAACTTAGTAATGAAAGCTGATGGGAACACATTTTAGAGGCTGATTGTGTTTTAACAGATTCTCACTGGCTCAAAGATATTCCTCATATTCAAAAAGGAAAATGCAGCTGGAAGCTGCTCTGGTGGTACCCACCAATTCTGGACCTTCAAGTGAGACAGAAAGATTACCTCTGCTTCAGTGACGACACTCTTCTTGAATAAACGGTCAAGGAGCTCTTCACTGGAACATCTGACACAGCATTAAGGGGAAACAGAACTACAGTTAAATGCTTGTTTTTACTTTGTAACCACCTCTATCCAGCTGACAGAGCAGAATTCACGAGGTCATCTCAGGCAACGTGATGTGCATGTAATTCATTAAAAGCTTTATTGCAGAAATGTTCTTCTTGCACAATTGTGATAAAATTGGGCTGCTCCAAACCTGTGCTCCCTATACACAGGAGCATGGTATTGCTTGTGCTAAAATCTGCCTGTTGGTTATGGGTTTTCTGCTCTGCACTGCATTTTCCTGATGATCATCCAGACTGGACCTCCAGACATCTCAGAAAAGAGATTTGGTGCTTAACAACTCGTTCACACTTGTATATACAAGTGCAGAAGCAGTGCAGCGAGGAGCTCACAGAGCTATGCTATCCTGCAGTGCAGAGAAAGCCTGGGCATGTCCTTTTATCTCAGGCAATACCTGAAAATGGTTAATTGCTTAGTTATTTAATAAATGAGGTCTACCCAGTATTTCCCAGCCTCCTCAGACAAGCAGCAGAGAAAAGGATACAACTCAAGAATCAAAATCAGCGTTTTCCGTGTTTCAAACTGATCCAGGAGCCTGGTAATTCTGTCGTGGGACAGAGAGGCAAGAATATCCCTCTCTTGATGCGCTCGAGCCTTCGTTTTGCTTCGTAGAGGTATGAATTTGGCAGCACAAGACACTCTGTTCCCTTTATGTACAACTCGTTTCACAAAGCTGAAGCAGCCCCTGTGTAAAAATCAAAGGACAAGCCCTGCTCAGACTTGGTTCAAAGCCCTCTGCACAGCAGGTGTAGACCTTTCCATGTCCCAGCCTTTGACAGCTCCCTACTGCTCAGGGCTTAAATTCTCCAGCATAAAACCCTGAATTTCCTGTATATGAGGTGCTATTGCCCTCTCCTGGCTGTCTCCAAAACTAAGCAACGTGTTCACTTCAAGGGAAAAGCTGTTTCAGGTGATACAGCCTTGTGTGACAAAGGCTGATGCTCTTGGATCCCTTGGACAGACATGGGTCTTGTACGTACGTCGCTATGGGCTTGTGATGCTAACATTGCCGAGGAGCCATACATACCTGGGCGCCTATCCTGCCAGCCTGTGGCTGGTATTTTTTCTGGTTGGAGCTACCTGGACATATGGGCTTTATGGACACTCCCATCCTCTGTCAGAAAGCTCAGGAAAGTGTTTCCAGCAGATCTGCAATGGGCTGACCTCCCACTTCTGCCACTACTTTCACCTTTTCAGACTTTTCCACAGCTGAGCCCACCTCTACCTCTGGTTACACATGCTCAGCAGCTCAGATGGGCAATTAGATATTCTCCAGAAGTGATGCTATAAAGTTGGAAAATTCATTTACCTTCCAATCTCCTGCTTAACCTCATAAAGGGAATGGAGCTTTCTCCTGGTGGCCACTTTCTTTGCTGCTTGGTCTTTCTTAGCTTTGGAAATGAAGGAAAATACAAGTGTTAATATTCAGACAACAATGCCTTGCTAATAGTGTGCAAAGTTATTACAGGACAATTTAAGGCAGGAGAAATTGCAGAGGTCCTCTAAACTTCTGCACAGAATCCAGTGGAGCTGTTCAATGACAGAACCTGCCAATATGAACTTTGGAGCTGCATCTTCACCTGACATAGATCAGAAGAGCCAGGCTAAAGAGCAGAACACCACCAGAGACATGGCCCCACTTATTTCTGTGGCCCATGGTATCGGTTCATCATGTAGTCTGAAGCAGAAAAAAAAAAAAATCTCATTTGTATATATATGTGTAGGTCATTAGATCATTTACTCTTATACTGGATCCTGCCAAACCGGTAATATACAAATGCTGTGCAGGAATACAGAGCAGATACCATATGGGTATCAGAAGATGACTGCAACAGAGTACATATTGCAATGGCTATGGCAGCAGCTCCTGCAGCTGAGTGACATTACCTTCATGTACGACCAGCTCTGCTTTGCACAAAACCTCCCCTCCTGCATTTTTAGCAACACAGGTATAAACACCACCGTCTTCTGAGACAGCATTGTCCACGACTAAGAAATATGTTGTTCCTTCCTTCCCTTGATGGAGCCTGGTGCTGTCTGTCAGCAACGAAGTGCCCTGAAAGAATGAAATGACATTTTGGCACTGGAAAAACCAAGACAGAAACAGATGTTTCTTCTCTTCAAGAAATGAGATATAGGAGCAGAGCTACAACACAGACTGTTTAGGCTAGCAAATCTCACTAACAAAGTGGTGGCTGAAGGAGTCCCCCATGTCTAACTTTGTCTGCTTCCACATTACCCACTAACATTTTTGTTTCATAACCCATTCGTAGGAATACGGGCTTGGGAGGGATCACCAGGGCCATGTGGTTTATTCTTCAGCTCTCCCAGCACACAATGCCTGAGCATTAAGCCCAGGGAGCACGAGGATCAACTACTCTGCTCCTGCCTGGTCTCCAGCTTGTGCTGGCACTTGTAGTGCTTAATACATTCGTAAATGCTATGAAAAAAAAAGGGACAGGAGGGATCGTGTGTGGCACAGAGATCAGATTATGAAGATTTGCTAAAGGACCTTATGAGACCGCCTGTCTGGGCAGTGAAATGCTAGATAAATGTATATAATACAATAAATGTAAAGTGATGCAACCCTATTCCCCCACATGAAATGTCTGTCTCTGAGCTGTTCCTTATTACACCGGAGCAGAACTCTGAGTTACAGTAGATCACTCCATAGCAGCACCAGCTCAGTGCTTGGAGGCAGTCAAAAACTACCAGATGTTAGAAATTATTAGGGAAGAAATGAAGAATAAGACAAAAAGCATCATCTTATAAATCCTAGGTTTTCCCAGGGTATGTTAGTGTTGCAGCAATGTTCTTTCTGTAACAGCTTCCAGATGAGGATTGACAGAGCAAGTTTGGGCTCTTCAGCCTGGAAGGGAAGCTCTAGCAATACAACATGATATTATGAATAGCTCAGCAAGTGGGCAGGGCTTAACTTTTCCTGCAAGATGTAAGACCCAACACGTGAAGCTTTTGGTAAATATGTACAGAATAGCCAAAAAGAGGTGGCACTTCAGGCAGCCTCCTTGCCAAGGGACACTGTCCATGCAAGATGTTTACATGGGTGCAAGAGGAGATTAAATAAGCACATGGAGAGCTTTACGGTGGTTCAGTAAATAGATAAAGTTCAACTAGCTTGTGGTAACTCTCAGTTGAAAATGTCAGAGCTTTGGAGAATATTAACAGGGTGTATCATATATTCTTGTCTTGTTCTTCTTTTCAAGGTGTTCAGGCACATGTATGTACATGTGTTTGTGCGTGGGAGGGGGTTCTTTGCATTTTTGCTTGGTTTTTAAGGTTATTTTATTCGTCTGAGTAGCTCATTCTTCTACTTCCCACACAGAAGGTAGAAAAAAAAAGGAATAAACCTTTTGTGTACAAACGAGCTAGTTGGACAGAGAGTTACAATCATTATAAAACAAGAGTGGCTTATTTCAGAGGCATGACAATATTCTGAGGAATAGTAAATGATTTAGTCTTTCCTTTCCATGGGATATTTGTCCTTAGTCACATTCATTTTATCAGTTAGCTATGGAAAACATACAGAGCCTGAAAGTCACATTGACAATTGGAATAATCCACTCTTAATCCCATCCCTGACCCCAAAACCACAGCACACATCTTGGTGGCTCTCAGACAGACACCAGTCTCCCTGCCCATCCCCAAAACCATCTCGCTTGCCTTTTCTGCGAAAGGAGCTACAGCGACACTGGAGACAACTCAAGGTGAGATGCATGGTTGGTGGTTCCTGAGAACTGCAGCTTATTCAACAAAATCTATAGATATGACCCAGAATCAGTGTAAGAGGTGTAGGATGAAAGAGCAAAATAAATTCTGGACAGAAATACTGCTTTACAGTCCTTTCTGTAGACTTTATTCTCAGCCAGAGAAACGCCTGCACTTACCTTAAACCACAAAACGGTAGGCTGAGGGGTTCCTTCAATGACTGCCTGAAATTTGGCACACTCCCCAGAATTCACCTGCACATCCTCTATTGTCACTTGCATATAGGGAGGACCTGGTGAGACACAAGGATTTGCTGCATGCACAGTACCATAACTTTGTTCATGGTGTGCTGATGTAGGTTGAGTTACTCAAATGGGATTTACAGGACCGGCCATTTAGAATATGACATCAGCTTAGTGTCAAATCAAAAGATATCACAGCAATATATTTGGGTTTCTTTATACTGGCATTACTTTTAGGCTTCATATCTTCACACTTATTTGTTACTTTTTGTTTAATAAACGGGTACTGCTCAAGAAATGGAAGTATTTAAAAAAAATCAGTCATTGATAGCTATTACCAAAGGAGAAGGCAATGACCATCACGGGATGTGGGAGAGGGAAACAAGACTCTTCCTTACTTGTTGGGGTCTTCTCCTCAGTCTTATACACACGAGTTCTTTCTGTGGTCTCAATATAAACTTCACTGTGTACGTCCCAGACCACATCTCCTTCTCTTCTGTACCAGTCTCCTGCCCCCGCGGCTGGTGATGTTCTTTCATGAAACCCAAGAGAAAAGATCATTACACAGTCACGTACAACCACAGAGATACAGGATTACACCCTGCCACTGACCTGTGTGTTTTTAACCACCAGACAAGTAATTATTAACTTAAAATTAATACAAGGAGATTGAGGTTGGGTTTTTTTTTTGGGAGGAGGGGGATAAATTTCTCTCCAACCTTTTCTATCCTTCTTGCACGATGCATGTGTGAACAGGATTCTAAAAATAACAACAAACCTACAAGAATCAGTTCAAGTCACCACCTGCTTCCTCCACCACAGAGGACTTGCTTTTCTTGCAACAAAGTCTGCCGCATTCAGAAATCTGTGTATTGGGATGGGTTTTTACCTGGTAATAGGAACGGTGCGCTCCTGAGTCCTTTCATCTCCAGCAGCCGTCTCATCATGGGAAGGACCGGGACTGGACTTTGGCACACTTGATTCTTCAGCTGGAATCTGTCTTTGTGCTTTGTCTGGCAGCAGAAACAGGACAAGTTAGACACGTCACCTATGACGGCACACCTGAAACCCGGAGCAAACCGTTGGAGCCACGTCTAGTCTGCCTTGTGTCAGAACCGAGTCCCTCTGACCTCAGCTGAGTGCAATCACTGAAGCCAAAAGGAGAATTTGGCCCTTTTGAGAAGACCACATGAAGCAAACGGCTTGAATAACATCAGAGAGACTGAACACATTACTGAGTGGGCAAAAGTAACTTTTCTGTAAGGAAACACACACAGACAAAAATAGGAAAGGTAGTCAGTAGGGATGAGAAGAAATAGGATGACTGGAAGGATAAAATGAGTTCAATACATCCTTTATAGGACATAATTTAACTATGAGTTCCAGCTCATGGCTATGATGAAATCATAGAATCATTTAGGTTGGAAAAGACCCCTAAGATCATCAAGTCCAGCTGTGAACCTAACACTGCCAAGTCCACCACTAAACCATGTCCCTAAGAGCCACATCTACACGTCTTTTAAATACCTCCACGGATGCCCAGCATTAGCTTCATACACACAAATGCTTCAATTAAACTTTGCGTTATGAGAAGAGTTCTTGACTCACTGTTGCAATCACAGACAGTATCAGTGAAATGTGTAAGCTTACATCAGTGTGAAACTGGAGACCAAGGCAGGCCCTGCCTAGGGGTACAGATAATATGGAGATATGCTAATATGGAGGACCTGGTGATATTATAACATTAGCATTGGTGTACTTCCACTGGGTTCTTTGAAAATGTCCTCGGACAACTCTAAGTCACACCAGAACAAGGTTTGGCATCTGGGGCTTGCAGGAACGAGGAAGTAAAAAGATGGCACAGCTTAATGGCAGTTGAGGTATTGTTCTTCTTTTATTATTAATTATTATTAATATATCTTCAAAACCTGGTTTGATCTTCCATTCCTAAACTACCTGATTGTCTTTTGATATTGACTGTTGGAGTTACCCCATAGGATAAGGTGCATCATCTTTTTCATCTGAGGAGAAAAGGTTAAATCAAGAGGATTCTTCTCCCCAGCAGGAAGGGCCTTTTTGGGGAGCACTCTAGGGGTGTTTGGTGCTGGCTGGTTTTGGAAAGAAGCAACAGTTTCTAGAAATCACATGAAACAGCTCTATTGGGATGGAAAACATGGTTATTCAAGGCATTACTGGCAGGGTCAGAGATCCCAGGTTGGTAGGATTGTGGTTTCCTATTGCCAGCACTATCAAAAAATTGCTTTCTTTTTATTCAAAGAATGTGATCTTTGGGACAGTCGTCAAGTCTCCACCTTATTAAAATAATTCTCCATATTAATAACATGTTTAGTTTTCTCAGATGAAAGGACTGCAAAACCATCTCATTCACTATTCTATTATCTCTGTAGTTATGACTAAGGAAACAATCTGCTAGTTGACATTTTACATATGATTTTTGAGTCATCCTGCTTCACCAAAGGATTATTTTCACAGATGATTTCCTACTAGAAAGGAAAAAAGGTTTTAAAGCCCTGTCATTTTTAATGCAGTTATTTTTGGTCTGATTCCATGAAATGCTTCTATCCTTGTTATATTTTATTTTAGACAAGAATATCTTTTTTTTTTTTTTTTTTTTTTTTTTTTAAACAGCATCTGGAGTTTGAGGGCTGAAGGCTACTTGATATTGTCCTTTTAGGTTGACACTGGGGCAGGACAGTTACTCTGACTTGACACAGAGACAGCTCAGACAAGTTGTTATGGCAGAAGCAGAAGGATGAGAGGAGGGGTTGCCACTTATTCATGGGTTTAAAAAAAAAAAAAAAGCAAAGACGAAAGACTTGTTCTCCTGCCAAGACACAGTCACACACATCATTGGTTTGCATCACACGGAAACTGTTAAGGAGTCTGCCAAGGCTCTAAGGCCAGTGAAATGCAGGTGAACCTAATGTGCCCAACATCCTAGAAAGTCTCCAGCAGTTGATACAGAGATGTTAAACACATTTCCAGCTTGTTTATGGCAAACAATAAAAGAAAAGTAACCTCCCTTACCCACCCCACCAAATCAAAACCCAAATGACTTCTTTAAACATAAAGGAGAGATCCCACCCACCTTCTCCCTCAAAAAAACTTGAAGCCATTCTAGGGTCAAAAGACTAAAGGTGGAAAAATCACCAATCCCTCCATTTTGGGCAGGTGATGAACCAAACTCAGACACAGTTTTCAAAGACCTGCTGTTTCCAGAAAGATCTGCCCCAAACTTATGTCCAGACTAACCCCAGCCCACAGTCCCACGTTTCTTTGGGTTTGAATGTCCTCTCTTAATCTGCAACTGCTCAAAACACAACAAAACAGAAAAATGAGGGGAAAAATATCATTATTGGTGTGTTCAATATTTTTGTCTCTCTTGACTCTCATGGGGCATTTTCCAGATTCATGCCAAACCTACCATGACCTCCAGCAGTCTGGGTTTGGGTACTGGCTTCTTGAACTATGACAGAGGGCCCAACTGCTCTTTCTGAGTGCTCTGAAGGAATGGACCCAGGAAGGCCAAGGCCACCAGCTCCTCCTTGCATGCTCGGGGGAAGAGTCACCAGCAGTGATGCCGAGTCCACGAGTTTCTTTAGAGCTGTTTTGATCTCCTTATCAGCACGCTGAAGTGAGGCCTGGACAGTAGTCTCCATCTTTGACTGTGGGGAAGTCATTCCTACAGACAAGAAGAACAGCTTTTCTCTCTTCAGGGTAAAAAGAAAATAGCAGCATCATCCAACCCATGGAAATATTTGCAATCATATCATTTTCCCCTCCTAGAGCAGAGACCCGATGCAGAAATGCTTATTGCAGTAAGAGAGAATGTAGCTAAGAATTAATAAGAAGGTTCAGACACGTTTCAAAAAGTTGTATCTCACCAGGTTGAGGACACTGTATACACCCCCGGCCTCACCTCAGACAGCAGAACAAATGATCCATCTCCCAACTCAACCCTACGTTGGCTGGTCTGTCAAAAATAACTTTATTAAGATCAATGAAATGAACCCAGAGGTGACCCATTGCACTGATACAGACCCTATGGGCAAGGAGGTCATTATTTTCACAGGGAAGGAGAAGGAGTGACTGGGTACCGGCCTCATCGGTGACTCTGGAGAAGGGCAGGGGAAAGAAGGGAGGGCTGTTCTGCTTCAGGAGCCCGTGAGTCTGAGAGGATGGCAGAAAAGCTACTCCTTGCTCTAGAGAAATGTATTGGTCCTACTTTACAGTATCTGAATATTTTTCCTGTGCTTTGCACTTGGAGGTACCTGAGACTTTTATATTTGTACGGGACTATGCTTTTTCAAGATACTCTAGAGGCAAAGTCACCTGGTCTGTACAGTAATGCACAGCAGTTGTGTATACGGAAGCATTATACACAGGAAGATATAAGTCCTGCCTCAAGAAACTCTCTTGAAGGCAGAGAGAAGAAAAAAGCTTTCCACACAGAAAAAATGGATTTTCAAGCATATATCTTTGCAAAATGGCCACCCAGAAGACAAATACCGTGGTCTCATCCCCAGTCAGCACTGGCAGAAGCAGCTAGGCTAGGATGGGATCATAGGACCTCAGGAGCTCATCTCATCCAATCTCCTTCCCAGTACACCTTCCACAGATCTTAAAGAGGCATAACAAAGGGACAGACAAGATCTAGGGAAACTTTCAAGTAACCATAAAGACAGACAAAATACACATCCGGTTAAGACAATTCATCTTGTTCATGGCACAATTGCTTGCCAAGCAAGAGTGCAAACTTGAACCATCATGTGGTTCAAGAAAAAGAGCACTTGCACACAAATGGCTCTGACTTGCTTAACGTCATTGACAAGGGAGCATGTCCTGTAGCTGTTTCTGCTCCTTCCCTGGCCTTAAGAAAGTAAATTCCCCTGATAGACCTTAGCAGGTAAAATTGAAGACTACATTTGGATCAGCCCCCCTTTGAAGACATCTCACTTGATTTTTGTTTTCAAGGTCCTCCCCATAAGCATAGTGGTTATGGCATATTTCAGTTCTGAGTTTGTTGATGGAAAAAGCAAATTTTGCTTACATGAAGTCCCAGACTTCCCATCAGTGTTCATCAGCACTGGGCTGGGTTGAAGATGTTTAAATATTTCCCTAGATAAATATTTTGATTCTCTGGTGTTCCTGTTGTGATTGCTGCCAACTAGTGCTGCCCTACAAGCTGGGCAGCTGCCAACAAGTGAACCTTTTGGAAAGGCATGAAACAGTATCTCTGAATGAGAAAATATATTTGCAGGGATGTATGTACAGGTTGTATATAACCACAGGTCTCCCCCACGCTGCTAATACCACCACTTTCCTCCCTGTTTAGGGATGCTACACACTATGATTCAAGCTGCTGACCTGAGGAACTTTAATATTAGCTAAGGTATTTCAAACTAACACCGTTGTGATGACACATCTGTGATGGACAGCCTGTTTCCCAATTCTAAAATCTCAACCATGAAACTTTTCGCCCCATTTCTCCTTCAGCCAATAACCAGGAACACAAGACTGACACGTATTTTGAAGTTCCAATTCAGCTTCAGAGAAGGACCCAAGAGGACAAGAATTTTTCAAAATTATTGATTCCTAGATCTGAGTTGGAAATATCGCTAAAAAAAAAAAAGTTCTTTCGCTTCAACACTTGCGAAACTGTCCATAAAAAATGGAGCTAGAGCCCAACTGCATTAATGTTCTTGGGCTGCAACCCAGCTCCAAAGTCGATGGGGGAAGAGGACGAGCTGATGGGCTATCGAGTGCCGTGAACAGAGAAGAACAGAAACCCAGCAAATTCAGTGACAGCTGATGCAAGACATTTATTGATATAAACTCAGCATCTAACAGCATATCTTGCATTTGATTTTTTTTTTGTTTTGGTTTTTTTTGTGTTTTTTTTTTCTTTTTGTGTTTCAAGCAAACTGAAGTTTCCACTTTATTAATACCCATTTACCTGCAGGAATTACAGTAAAACCTCTGTATTAAAATTTTTATGACAGCTGTATGTTTTCACCTACAAGAAATAAATCCCCACACTTCTCATTAGTTATCTACATAGTTTAATCACTTACAAGCATAATTTTTAACCTCTAGGAACATATTTTGAAAGTACATGTAATGAACTTTTCATAAACCTTTCACTTTTTGAAGAGAGTTTTGCATAGCATTTTAAAAATTCCTTTAAATTGATTCGCTTTTGCTTAAATTTCAAAAGAAAATGTAAACAGATGTTAATTGCTTTGGGCTAATGAATCAAAGTATAGTTCATCTATGACCATCTGAACTGCAACCTTTCATCATCTTTAGAAAAACCTGAGCATCAACCACAACAGGAGGAAACCTCCACATTCCTTTACACATCTTTATTATCTTTTGGATGAATATTATATTTTCAAAGACTATCATAGGGCAAATTCTTTTCTCAGCAGTATCTTTGTAAATCCCAATCAAATCCACTTCCTTCTGTGGAATTATTCGAGATTGATACTGGAATAACTGAGATCAGAATCAGGCCCAATAAAAATAAATATTTTCAAAGCATGTCTCTGTTCTATGTCTGTTACTTTCCAATGTAAAGTGCAATATATGAAAAAAGCACTAATATATATCCATTGTATTGCTTAATTACAAAACAAACAGTATAAACCAAGGAGATGTTATAAAAAAATGGAAAAGTAACATAAAAGAGTCTTGATTTCTTTCACCACCTGTAATCGCTAGAAAAGCATCTTATATCATGAGGGCGGTGCACATGATATTACACATTACATCTTGTTTGGATATTGAAAGTAAAAGGCTCTGAAATCAGTATGTTCAATTTTGTCAGCTTATGATCAAGGTGCAGCCACAGAAGGAAAAAATAATGTATTCTTTTCTACAAGCACCTTTTGTGAATTCAGTCCCTGTTAGTGGGAATATTGCCCGGAGGACTCCAGACCAAGCTTCACAATTTTACCTAGCTGGGAAACACTGAGAAAACATCACACATCAACCTTTCCAAGCCAAAAACTCACTCAGTCCTCTCTCTTCAGGCTAGTTAGAAATTCAGCGGTGTCTGAACATTTCTGGTTTCCCTACACCATCTAAATGAAAACATATTCTATTGCTACAGTGCTACGCAACTCAGCTGGGACAAGGAGTTGAGACTTTTCACCCCATGTCTCTGTCTGATAGAGAGGGCCAGTGCTTGGTCCTACTGAGATCAACCTCAAACTCCAGTTGACTGCAACTGGGACCAATATTTGGGCCTATGAGCTCATTTCTTTCCAGGACTGAGCAACATCCATTTTTGGTGAAGCCAGTGGGAATAGGCCACGCTCAGTGCATCTTAGCCTTCCCCTCACAATCACCGCTCCCGCTGCAAAGCTCCTGAGAAACTCAACAGAAGGCAGTACCTCTGCGAGACAGCTCAACATACATGGTTACAGTAATATGATGCAATTGCAACTGGCAGTGCTTCCAAGCAGCCCAATACATTTCAAAAGATGTATTTTTCAACCAGGCATTTATGGTAAAGATCTTTTTTCTTTATTTCTTTCTTTTTTTTTAAAGCTGTCTTTATGCTCCTGCTACTTTGCTGTAGCTCAGTGGTGAATTCCTCTTAGCACATATAGAAGACATTATCTATCAATCTGTTAACAGTAATGTTTCACCACTGGCATGTACAGGAGACCAAATATTCTTCCAGTAATATTTATTGACAAAAACCACATTTGTGGTTCTTTGTATGTGTTAGCATTTGATTATAGATGCAGAAGTCATTTTGTGCAGCACTTTAATCTTTTGCTGCACATTAAGTAATCTATTTTTTAAAAGATATGGATTATAAATCCACTATACTAGAATAGAGAATAATGAAACCTACATCTTTAGACAACTAGGAAGTGGACTTGAAAATAGCAGTCACTTAATAAAGATGGTCTTTGTTTACTTAAAGCAGAAGAGAACAATGAAATCCTTGCTTCCTCAAGTCAGTGGAAGTTTCACCATTGACTTTAGTCAAATTAGGATTTCATGCAAAAGGTCTGAGCAGCCCTTTGCATCCCTAGTAAATTCAATATTTTCTATACATTTCATTCTGTGGCAGAAGTTTAAAATAATGTAACCAGACTGTGCATGTTGAAAGGCTTATGAAGAAATTTTGACAGGGCTAATTGGTGTCAAAAGTGTACAGCAGAGTCAAAGCATTGTGAAGCTTCATGACCTTCGGGCACTCACAGTGACAGGAGATCGCTTTAGCTGGGAACAGCCCTCCTGTCCTGGGCTGCTGAAGGACGCTGAAAAGCTTAGATACTTTCACCTTCTTGCCATGCCATAATGTACAAATTGGCACTTGAAATAATTTTTAAGTTCATGGGCAAAACCCTCACTTATTCATTTTTATTTCTGTCATAGGCAGGAGAATCAGGCTTTTCCTAAACCTACCATCACTGCTCTGCTATGGAATGATATATGTTCACCTTGATCAAAGCTTTTAAAATTACAAACTGTTCTGACAGACATGTTCCCTTTAAGACTGGAAAAGCTCGACATACCATATTTAAATATATTTTCCTCAAAGGTATTGCCTCATACATGTTACCTTGTTATCTTTGCCACCAATTCCCCTCACCTACAACAATTTTGATTAGATTTTTCTAAAACTCTGCTTTCTTTTGTGTTGAAAATTATGCTTGCATCTCCTCAGCTTTGGGAGAGGTCTTCTGTGCTGATGTGCAAGGTAACAGGCTCGCCAACAGTCCCATAGCTGAGGGTTCTTGTGGAAACTTCAGTTTTAAAGCTTGACTGTCCGTTGTCTGGTGAGAGCTGGACTTCAGTGCAGAAAGATGGTTTCACTGTGAAGGAGGGACCCGGAGAAGCTGCTGCTGTTGCTGCATGCACCCCAGGCGTCACTGCCATGCAGGTATCACTCACATGGAAGGAGATGTTTGAGGCACCTACAGACTGCACACCGGTTACTCTAGATGCTGACATGAACATGCCCCCAGGAACGTGCTCCTCAAACTGGCTGAAAAATCTTTGCCTGGGCTGGGACACCACAGGTCTCACCAGATTCAGCAGCACTGGCTTCCCAATTGTTGGCTCATTAATCTCTGTCTGGAGCACGGAGATCTCGCAGGGTTTCTCTGCCGTATGGCTCTGATCATCGCACCCGTAGGTCTCACCTTCTTCAGGAACATAATCTTCAAGATCCTCCAAAGTTAATATTTTTCCATTGTGGGTTAAGATTTTACGGTCCCGGGTGCTAATGTCATCTGTCTGTAGTTCCTCTGGTTCATCAACTATAACAACATTATCCTCATCTGGAACGACATCTTGCATTACTTCGGGTACCCCCTCTTCAACAGGCCAAGATACATCTAATTCATCTATCTTTTCCTTAACCTCTGGACTCGCTGGTGAGAACAGAAGTTCATGCTGGTCTGCAGCAGCTGTCTCAAAACTGAAGATCAAAGGCTCACCCCCGCAGGCAAGCAGCGGGGAAGCGACATCTGACCTGTAGTGAGCGCTTGTTTCCTGTGGGAAGCTCTTTCCTTCGGTTCCATAATCCATAAATGAATCATTTCCTAGTTGTTCGGACCCACATGGGGAGCTTCTGTCTTCGTTGCTGACTTGAGGTCCTTCCTGCTCGGTTGCATACACCAGCGGCTGGATATCGGCTTCAGAGAGACTGTCACTAGGCAAAGATTTTGACTGTTCCACCAATTTATTGTTGGAGTTGTTTGTGTTTGGATCATCTTCTGGGGAACGCCTAGGCCTTGAGCTGGGAAAAGTGAACGTTAACACCCCTGAGTCATCTTTTTCTTGTTTTGCTGGGGAAGAGCCTCTTTTCCTTGCAGGTTTTGGTGATTTTTTCACCTTGAATTCAATTATTTCTTCCACTTCAACCCATTTGGGCTTTTTCTCTTCCACCTTGGTCTCTATGATGACATCTCTAGCTGCTGCTCCTTGCCTGTCTTCTGGTTCTGTGACATAAAGCATGGGAACAGCAGACTTTGATGTTGCCTCCTGCTCATGTCTGTGGACAGGCTGTCTGATCTTTGAAACAAAAACTGGCTCTGGAGTTGGCTCCGCTCTTGGGGAGCGGGAAGGTGAATGACCTGAAGAAGAACGTGCAGGAGAAACCCTTCCCCTTTGTCTTGGGCTCTTCACCACAGTGGTTATTGTTTCCTCTCTGATGACAGAAAGGGTTGGAATGGAGTTGGCAGGAAGATGAGATTTTCAGGGAGCCACACTCCATCAGCACATGCCATTGTTGGTCAAGGCACTACAATGGGGTTAGTTTTGTGAGCATTCCAGCTTTTGGTGAAGCGTGTCATTTTGGAAGGGATACAAACGCAACGCACACACCCACATGCCCATCTCCACTTACTCTCTGATCCAGGGAAAACCTCAGTGCCCTTTACCCCCGGTGGACTCCATTAGCCTCCTTGAGTGCAGGAACACACAACAAGCATGTCCAGCTGAGCAATGTTCTTCTGGATGCTTCTATATTTCATGTGCTTGTGTTGACCACCTACTGTGCTACTTTGGACCCATATAGCAGTTTCACCGAAGGATTTTAAACACTCAAGGAGTTTAACCTTTTCCTGAGTATTCTTGGCTAAAATCCTGGCTTCATGACCTCAATGGCAAAATGCCCTTTATTACAGTTGCATCAGCAGCTTCCTCTTTTTTTTTTTTTTTTTTGATAAATGTAACATATTTTGTTTATTAAAAACATCTATTTTGTTTATTAAAATTTTTAAAATACTTGCTTATTAAAAACTCTTTTGAGACCAGAGATCTGCATTTTCACATGCAGAACAGTTACATTAAAAGGGCATTAAGCATTTGGAGACCAGGAAAAGAAAGTTAGAACATTTCCTGCACAAGTCATCTATGCCAAAAATGTAATTTTTACTCTTCATAGTATCGTTATTGCAGACACAGCCTGATCTTACTACCACCAACTGACATAGGGGTACCAAACCAATCTGGGATGCATGATTATAATTTCTCAGCATATTTCTGCTGCCCTGACTTTAGATTTTTTAACATGTCCAAAGCAGTTGGGACTTCTCAGCATTCCGGTATAGATACACAGCTTGTGTCAAAACAATCTTCTGCTCCCATGCCAGGACAAACTTCAACTTTAAATGAGCTACAGATGAAATTGGATCAAATAGCTTTAAAATCTGGGGACAGGAACACTTAAACCCAGACTTCAATATTCTTAATTTTTGTATTTAACATGCAGTTTTTTCAGTGGCTTTTCTTACATGGAAAACTTTGAAGGTAAAGACCATGTTTGCTTAGCACAAGGAAGCTAATGCTCTACAGTGGAGGTAGCTGGTTCAGTGGAACTAACAGGAAAAGCTGAGTTTGTTTCTGTGTTGAGATTCTGTCCTGACCTCCAAGCAATGAGATAAAAAAAAACCCCAAAACACCCACAAAAAAACCCCACTCTGAAGGGTAAAGACAATGGCCTGAACTGGGTTTATGAATCAAGGCAACAGCTTTTTCATTCTTCCCTTTCTCCTCACCAGCCTTTAGACACAGCCACATAGGGCCGAAAGCCACCAGCTCTGCTCTGCAGCCAGCTCTGCTCTGGCTTTTGCACTGAGATATAGAGAAGGGTGGAAAGAGTTCTTGTGAGAGGAGCGCCCATTTCTCCTACTGCATTTGTCTAACCATCATGGAAGACTAATCCTCTTAGATATATTGTAGCCTTTTTCATCTATTGGTCTCATTTTTGGAGACTGGTATTGCCTTCTGCTGTGGAGATCAGATTTCTTTCCACCATCAATCTCTCCCTTTGAGGATGTGGTGAAGTCCAGGACTGGATCAGCTACAGCGAGACTTCTTTTCTTTCAGAGCACCCTCTCATCTACTGCTCATTTCAACTGTTTTACTCTTGCCCCCAAGTTTTCTATAGTTTTGCTATAGAGTTTTAAGGTCTATGCAAAGCCTTCATAATGGCCATGGTGCCTTTCTGAATTACACAAAACTAAATCATTTTAGATAAAGATGAGAATGAATCCATGTGTGCTTGCACTAGACTTTGCTCTACATTGCAAGGTTAAAATGCTTTTTTGGATCTGGGATTTGCATATATAGACCCATCAATCAATCCCATTTCTAAATTATCTGTTATTTTCTGCTAGTATTTTCAAAGCTGCTTCTGTTCCTCAGCTTGCTACACACTAAGGAGATCTGGAATGTGCCCTCAGAGAGTTGTTCCCAAACTTTACCCCATCACTATCCCAATTCCAGCTGAGGTCCACTCTGATGAGTTCATGACTGCCATCCACTAGCAAAAGGAGGGGAATTTCTGTTGTTCTGAGATCCCACTCATAAATGTACCGACCTCCTTTGGGGCTGCAGCCCTTAATTTAGGAATCACTTAAGCCATCCAAAGCAATAGTCTTTGGAATTTACATGTCAGAAATTTAGAAACCAGCTTAACTGATGGTATTTTGTATTAGTTTAATGTTATTTAATCAACCAATATTAATGCTGCTGCTTGTGATTGGAAATCAGGAAGGGAAAAGGAGGACTATTAGCTGACTGAGGAGAGACATAAAATAAAAGCATCTCTCCAGGTGATTTACAGGCACAGAGATGTAGATAGATGAGATTTACTAAGCTTTAGACACGGTCTGGCTCTGAGTGATTCCTTCCTGCTCATGGCTTTCTCTGAATGCTCCTGAACGTGATATCAAAAAATACTTCTCAGCTTAGCTACCCCGCTGGTATCTGAACCCTAGTCCTTGAGATGGTACAGGTAGAAACACCTCCATTTTCTGGTCTTTGCGGGGTAAAAAAGTCTAATGACAGTTGATGTTAACTGAACTGATGTGCTGAAGAGAGGGGCAAAGGCAGAACCCCTTCCTGCCTCTCATGTCTCCTTGTTGCCTATTCAAAGTGGAAGCTCCTAGGATGGGGGACATGTCTTCTTATAAGCCACTGGCTCTGAATAGGATAAGTGCATGGATCATAAGAAATTGTCATCATAGAAAATAATAAAAGAGATAAAAGGTAAGCAACTCTTAAGCGTATTTCAGTTGTCATTTCACACATCCTCCTCACCATCTACAAAAGAAGTCAACTTTAGCATCACGTCCAAGTCAAGGACTGATTTTAGCAATAATACAACTCTTGAGGGAATGCATTCCCCCAAAATATCCGTTGTATAGTTACCTACTACCATTAGGAGATGATTTGAATAGCTTGGAGGTGCTCTGAAGGCCTACCACAGAAGGACAATGTCCCCCTTCCAGCACATGAAACAATTTATTATGTATTTGTTTATTATACTTAAATCCAAGAAGATACATTAAGATTTTAATGGCTGATGAGCTTCTGGTCTACATATGACCACTTTTTGGTGCAATTAATCTTTATATGTTATAGGCATCCAACATAAATCAGGCTCAAAGTAGCCAAAAAGACCAAGTCATTGTCAGGACAAAAATTCATGTTAGAAATATGAAAACAGAAGGGGATAAGAATGTGCATCTTCCATCTGCTTCATCATAAAAGGCTTTCCTGAAGAATTTAAAGTAGAAAGCCAGAAGAAATCACTGTAAGCTATGAGACATTTATTAAATTCATACATTTTTTCAAGTAGCCAGTTCTCAAAGCTGGTTTTTCAACATTGAGAGTCAGATTCTACCTTCTTGAACTTGTGCAACTCTGGCAGGATTCAGTGGAATTTTTTCACATGTAATATCATTAAAGAAATGACCTGGGCTGTGTCTAACACCAGTGCTGCTATTTTTTGAAAGGGATAGTAAGATTTTTTTTCAGGTGGTCACTTTGCATAGCACAGAATACCATGGGATCTGGTGGAATGGGAATGAACACACTTGCATGGCCAATAAACACAAGCTTGTTATTGGATCATGCATAGGCAGCAAGGCAAAACACGAAATGTTACCAAAAAAAAAAAAAGTCAGCACTTACATGATGATGGTTTTCTTGGGCACTTTAGTCTCTTGTTCAGTGACTACAAAGAAAACAGTATGAACAGCATGGGGTTAAAGAAAGGCAAAAGCTGAAATGATTAAATTAACTTTGCTCAGTTAATAAAAATAAACTGGAGTGAAAAAAAAAACAGCTGTACCATCCCATCCATGCTTTCTGTGGTTATTTCCAGCATTATCTTCAGTGTTTCTGACAAAGAATGAGAATTCAGAGTGGTCTCTGAACAGTGAATGATTTAGCTTTGAAATTAAATATTTTGTGGAGAACAATATTGCAAAATCTATTTATTCTACCATGACATTCTAACATTTTTGTTTGGCACGTCAAAGCTAGAAAACTAGCTTTTTTCCTTCCTTATTGAAAGGTAGTGATGATGTGAGAAACCTGAAAATGCCTGGATCTGGAAAATCCTGGAGAGCTGAAATTCTTTAAACTGTGATTTCACTTACTAGAACACTGAACAGTTTCCAAGCTTTTGTGGACTATCCAAGCTGATAACAATGAAAACTAAAATAATTACCATCAATACAGAAAATCATCATAAAAAAACCCCACCTCTAGGAAATCCAGGAGAGCCCTGTAATACACCTATGTCTACTCCATCTCTTTTTTGCTATAATTTGCAATTTTTCCTGACCCTTGTCCTATAACAAACTAGAAGCTGTTGAAGCATGTCAAGATCAAAAGAAAAGTAATGATTTAATGATTTTGCAAGTATTTCTTAAAATTGACATTTTTAAAAATGAGAAAGATACCATTTGAAGAGCTAATAGAGATTTTTGGCAGGTTCCCATCCTATCTGCTAGGATAAAATTAAGACACGGTTTGAACTGAACCATTTTGAACACACTCTGAA